GTTGATCATCTGTCCATCATCGTATAAAGCCCGCCCTGACAATTTGATTGGATCGCCAGAGGCTGGGCGATCATACTCGCGCTACTATGGAGCAGAGCCAGACCGAACTTCCCGACCTCAAACCTTGTGGGCGGGACTAAGTTCGGAATGGCACCCAGGCTAGCTCATTAACATCTCAAAAACTTGAATAACACTTCAACAACTTCCATAAATCCCAGATCAGAGACAACCTGAAAAACAGACCACGTTTTTAGTGAAATTGCAGGGTCAAGTGTCTAACCAGTAAAAGAGAGAGTGCTGACATCTACAGATATACTATGATAACAGAGGAGTCATTGGGTCCATCAGAGATGGTCAAGAAGCTACAGGGCGTTGGGGCTTTGTGGCATGGTGTGAAAACATTAATCTGATCCTTAATGTCAGCAAGACAAGGGAGATGATTGTAGATTTCAGAACAAACAAGAAATATTAAAATACTATAAACATCATGGGATAAGAAATAAAGGTGGTTGAGTAGTACAAATACATTGGTGTTAATCTGGACAACACACTCAACTGGGGGGGCAAATTTGAATAGATAGACCTGTTTTGTTGCTAAGTAAGTATAGGGCCATGTTGTAGGATACATTCTGATTTCTGATTCTGATATGATATAAGACAATAAAACTGCCACTACATCTTGAAGTTCAAGTATGAGTCTTACCAATAAATAAAGTCTCTAATGCTGTAGAATATAAATGTCTGGCTCGCTTGCCAAATATGGAAGCAGTTGTACTGCTTTATGTAGTCCTGTTTCTGACCTTATGCTCACTTAGCAACACAGAGAATGCAACATGTAAACAGGGAGTCTACAAGCTGGGAGTCACGTATGAATCTTGGCAAAAACGTGCACGTGCATCCACACAGTGCGATGTAGAGCCTATAAATGCCGCCCACAATGGATTGGAGGTTAGGGGAAAATTACAGATGTGAGGACATAGCGCTGAATGTATGAAGTGTTTAAGACAGCTGTATGAATTCGGTTTTGTAACCGAATTCATTCCGGATGACGATTTGTGAATCGAGGCCTTCTTTCTGTCATAAGAGAATTCTACCAATGAGCTTCCACAATGCATTGTGCCACCAACTGTTACAGCATCAGCATCGGAGCAAATGGCTTCAAGAAGCCTAAAAGCTGATAAAAAGGTTCAAATCCGTTGTAAAAACTCTTCTGGACACAATTTCACAAAGAAGAATTCTTAATAAGATGTGTAAAATTATTGAAAACCATAAGCATCGTCCTAAGGAGACTGTTGAACAACATCATCAGTGTCAATGTCAAGTGCTTCTCCAGATCCGGCTAAAGAAGATCCTTCCTGCCTACGGCTTTCGACACATATAATAACTTGTTATAAAAAAAATTGTATGAGTAACTAAAGTATTAGTATTTTTACCTTTGTGTTCAATAAAGTAATTTTGAATTGAATTGAAACCCAGCCCTTGGCGACCTGTCCAGGGTGTACCCCGCCTCTCGCCCGTAGACAGCTGGAGATAGGCACCAGCACCCCTCACGACCCATGCTGGGATAAGCGTGACAAAAAATGGATGGATGGATGAATTGAAACCCTTAAGTTTACTAAAAAATGGACTAATCACAATCTGTAATGAAAAGAAATAAGCCAACAGGCCAACATAATTTAGTCAGAAGATCCTTCGTATTTAACTAGACTGAGCCACTGGCATTGAAATGTGTAAAGTCATACTTTCTGACAGGGCTCTTTTAAACAACATCTCAATAAAATGCATTTCAATTTATGGTTTTTACAGAAAATGTATCAAGAACTTCATGGAGTCTAATTACTTTTGTTGTTTTGATTTGAGTTTCTTATATCTTATCTCTAAATGCCTTTCTACTGTTTTTTATCTAGCTCTCCATCTCTTTCTATCCCAACACTGAGGCACTCTTTATGCTTTGAAAATTCAAGTTGGCAGTTTGTGACTAAATGCAGTAAATTTATTAACAAGACCGCAGGGAACATTAAAAGTCAATTGAAGGAGGCTATTAAAAGCAGGATTTTAATTGGGTTAGTGCCTTGGCTGAAACTCTTTTTTTTTTTTTCCCTGTCTCTTTTTTTCTAAGAGCAATAGTCATAAAAAGTTCTGAATTAATTTGTTCAGTATCCGCTAGTCCTTGAAAGAAAGTTCTTTTAAAATCTCAGAGGTTTAATGTTTTTCAGCTAATTTTCTTGGTCTCCAAATATCAGAACATTGTGTAAAAAAACAGCCTCCCTGTAAATTCTGAATAGACATATGCTCATGGCGTCTGCCCTTCTTTTCTGCTTTTCTGCTGCAGAGTAAGAGGGAGATTTATGTGATGTTTTATGGTGGAAGATTGCATCTTGTGAATGACATGGTTTAACTATGAAAACAGCTAAATTTTCAGTAGATTAACTCTTGGTCATGACAAAAAATCTGACTATAGCTGTTGTATGTATTTACTTTTTGATAAGGCCTGCAATCTGTGAAGACATTATGTGAGCAGTGTAGCTTTACTGGATCAGATTATGTAATCTGTTGAAATTACATTACACAGCATACGATTGTCCTAGTTTTGGTAGCATAGTGTGACATATTACAAATGGCTTTAATTGCTCTGTGGCTTCTGGCTGTTCTGACACAGTTGACTCTCTGTGCACCTCAAGAGACTGGGGTTTCAGTGCGTGCATAAACTCAGAAAAATAGTTGGTTTATACACATGGCAGAGTTGGAAAGAGAGATGGGGAGGTGGCAGCATATTGGCTGTGCTGACTGGATAATGACATGCAAAGTGCTGTGCTGCTATACTAGGCTGAGCCTCCGACCAGATGCTACTTTCACTACAGCTCATAAGTAGCAAGAGCAGTAGGCTCCACTAACATACGTACTCGTCTTCAACAGATTAAACAGGAGGATTGCAGCGCTTCGATCATGTACTGTAAAGGGAGCTTATTAAAGCTAATACTCATTATGTGAAGGAGACTGTGGATAAGAAGACTCCTAAACCTCCAAGTTTTTTATGTAATTTCTCAATAGTTAGAATTTATGCAGTCTGTGTAATGAATGCGGCATTCATTACAACTTAAATAGCCTAAAAAACTTCGCATATTGACTTGTGTCCTATGAAGACACAGTTAAGAGGATTATTTATGTTTATAGTGAAACGGGCTGCCAGATGGCAACTTCACACTGAAGGGCTTTGAAGGTAATGTTAATGTTAGCCATATAATTCACTTAATTTATTTTTTTACAAGTAGAAAGCATAATAAGCAGGGTAATGACTCGGACTGCAAAAGAAATTGAGACACAACATTAAACAATCCATTCATTATTAATACATATTTACATATCAATCCATAAATGTATTTATTTTTGAAAAGGTTGCACAGTGGGTAGCACTGCTGCCTTGCCACAAGAACTTTCTGGATTCAATTCTTAGCCCAGGGTCTTTCTGCATGGAGTTGGCATGTTCTCCCAGAGCATGTGTGTGTTCCCTCCGGTTACACCGGCTTCCTCCCACAGTCCAAAAACATGACTGTAAGGTTAAGTAGCTTCCCTAAAATTGTCCTTAGGTGTGACTGTGTGTGCATTGTTGTGGGTCTTTATGTGTCTCTGTGTTGCCCTGTGACAGTGGAGAACTGTCAAGGGTGTACCCTGCCTCTTTCCCATAGACTGCCAGAGATAGGTACCGCCCCACCACGACCCTGACAAGGTCTATGCGGGAGAAGATGGATGGATGGATGGATGGATGGATGGATGGATGGATGGATGGATGGATGGATGGATGGATGGATGGATGGAAACTAATTTAATTACACTAAACAAATATTACCAGTGTTTTACTTACTGATTCAAATATACAGTAGCCACTCATCCACTGCAGTGACTAAAAAATGTTTTACGCCTCTCAATATGCTCTGGTTCAATTTAGGAAAAAGTCTTCTTTCAGGAACCTTTTGCTATTCGATTATTAATACTGCAAATTTGTCAAAAATAAGCCCTTTTTTGTCTTTCGATAGCATTTACATTGGGTCTCATCAGTGTATACCTGAAGTTGAACTAGGTCAAAGAGTGTATATCAGTAAAGGTCATATATACAACTGTGATTTTTGATGGAAAATCTTGAAGTAACCCTTTAAGGTATTGCAGATGGAAGGCAGAAAGGTAGCTTCTAAGCAGATGCCTACTTCAGTGTTGTATGTGGCTAACATCTGTTCAATAACAGTATTCTTACCATGCTTGCAGATCATTCTTCTCTTGTCTGTCACTGTCGTTTTTTTCTCCTTTTCTTTTTTTCTTTCTAGCAGGTACACAAAATGCTGTCAAGCAAACTATTTGAAAGTGGTGGAGGCTTTTTCAAGGCTTATGTAACCGAGTGCTGTCAGATAGCTGACAAGCAGTCCTTATTAGTCATTTCTGTTAGCACTACAGACCAACAAAAAAATAAATACTCCCTTTATTTCAATATAAGAATTTTTTAAAATAAAGCATACTATAGACATAAATTAGTATGGATTATCAAAATCTCATTACAGCCATCTGTTCTTAGAAATTTTAGGAAAACCTTGAAAAGCAACCTACTGTATCTATCATTTGAAACTATACCACAATTATTTGCTATCTTGTTACTCATCAGGCAGACAGCTATGACTAGCATGAACATCCTTACTGGTATATGGTCCAGTACCCAACATGCTGCCTGGCAGGGTGTTTCCTGAAACTGTATTTTCAGAACCAGTTGCTTATTTGTTGAATTTGAAGACATAGTGAAGCTTTTGCTCAACATGATCAACAGTGAACTCTGTCCACCCATGACTTGTTGGTTTGTTCATCAGTGCTCCTTCCTTGGGTTACTTTTGATTGTGATAAGTACAACTGCCTCAGATCCTTGACTTACACATAACTATAACATAATAACTGTGTGCACAGTAATAATGCATCATTACTAAAACATGTTTTTGTTGTCTGTTCTTTTTATCTTTCAGGAAAAAGGAAACATTGCTGTAGTATTTAATGTGGGAACAGATGACATAAACATTGAGGAGACGTCAAAATTTGTAAATGATGGAAAATACCATATAGTGAAGTTTACAAGGAGTGGGGGTAATGCCACTCTGCAGGTGGATGACCTGCCAGTCATTGAGCGCTACCCCACAGGTGAGTCCTACTGCTTTTGTGTACAACTGTATACGGGCTGCCTGCAGGAGATGGAATTACCCTAATGTTATTAAGCAACCAGGTTTTATCTGTTAAGGATTTCTTGATGATAACCTGGCAAGGGCTTAAATTGCGTTTTATATTTCTCCTTTTAATAGCTATTTGGAATCCTACCAGTGTTTCTGAGTTTTTTTTACTTGAATATGGTAGAGATAATACTGTTAAATGACATTTACAAAATAAAAATTACAATAAAATGTGCATTCTTCTATTTTTAACCTGCTGGGGATCACACAATCATGAAGTAAAGGCAACCACACTATCTTCATGGTTTTATTACACTATTTCAATCCACCCACATAAGGAGATCAGATCACTACACTATTTTCTGACAAATCAACACTTTACCAAAAAAAAAAAGGTTACTGTGTTTCTTTTGATGGATTTTTTATCATTACATTTGATTGATAGATTGATTTATTCATTGTTAGATTTCTTGATTAGTTTGGAATGAATAAAGCTACATAGTCAAAGTAAATGTGCTCCTGGTGTAATTTAGATAATCAGCTGACTTTATAGACAATCTTTTGAATAAAAATGTTATTATATATATATTCATCATTTTGAAAGCATAATCCAAAATGACTTGCACAAAAACAAAGCAGCATAATTTTTTTGTAAACATTAGTGCTCACCATAATCATATTTCTGTAGTGCTTTTCTAGAAAAGCACTTTAAATGACAGCGGAAGATAAACGCAGTCTTTGCCGACTTTGTAACAGCTGGGAAGTATTGAGAGAATGGTAGGTTCAACACATCAACAATTCAATAATTAGAGTACTCTGTGCTACTATATTTATGGTAAAAAATATGCAGCAGTCTGCTGGTAAACCACTAAAACTCAGCAACACTGGTATGTTAATTTAAGGTCTTGAAATGTCAGGTATTTGATTTCTAATTCTATTATCTACAGTATGTTTTTGAAATTCAACATTTTTTACCTGCTGTAAGGCTTTGGCAAAAGCTAAAGAGAGCTTATGACTTGTTAAAGTATTTGATCTAAATGCAAATCTAACTATTCCTGAAGGTACGAGCTGTTGCTCCAGAAAAAGAAAAGCTGCACTACCACATTTGTTAAGTTCTGAAAATGCATAAAATTTTAATGCTAGAAAACAGACGGCAAACAACTTGTCTCTTTCCTTCATACTCTTTATTTGACTTTCAGCTGAGAATTGTGCATTCGTCTAAATGATAGATGCTTGTATGACTGCGACCAAAACCTCCATTTGCCTGAGGTCGGAAAATGGAACCGTAAGCTTTTGACATGGTTATGACAGGATGTGAAGCAGATTTAAATGCATTCATGCTTCACCCTCTACATTTAAACATGCGTGCTATAAGGTGACTCCTGTGGTTAGCACTGTTGCCTCACAGCAAGAAGGTTGCCAGTTTAAATCTTAACTGGGATCATTCTGTGAGGAGTTTACACATTCTCAACATGCATAGGCTCCCTGGAGATAAACCAGCTGCCTCCCATGGTTCAAAAACAAGAATGTCAGGTAGATGGTGACTGTTAACTCAAAGTGGGTGTCAGTACTGAATGTGCATGCATCGTCACCCAATCTTGGGCTTGTGACCTGTCTAGGTTGTAATATTACCACTTTAAACCCAAACATATTTAAAAATGTATGGAAGGTGAAAGAATTAAGACTGAATACAGCCTACGCTAAAGAACATTTTAAGTATTACTTTGCTCCCCTTTAAATAAGGTTCTCTTAAGCATTATTTGACATACTGTAGTTCACTCACCTATTTAAAACAGAGATCAGAGTTTGTTCAGAAATCCTTGGAGCAATAAAATGTTGACAGTGACACAAAACTCTGAATTTTAGCTGATTTCAGCTATTAAAAACATATATAACTGAAAAATGTTTACATTGTGTCATTATTGATGCATCTGCACAAAAGAAATCAAAAGGTTTACTGCACCATTTGCATATTTCATTTGAAGTTTATGCTAATGAGGCCAAAATGAGGTAATAGATATTTTACAAAAATCTAATTATGTGCTGTGTTTGCATCTCTCCTCTATACAAAATTAGTTTTTGGTGCTACATACCACAGCATTTGATCTGTACTATCCTGATACAGATCTAAGCTCAATAAGTTAAATTAGTTAATAGAAACGAAGATGAAAAATCTTTAGCTAGAACTTTGGCATACTCAGAATCTTATTGCTAATGTTGATGTCTGTAGTATTAAAATCATTCTCACTCACTAAAATGGAATGATTATCATAGCATTTTGGATTAAAATTTCAAAGACTATAGACACATAAATCGGATAAATATGTTTCTTTTTAAAATGTCCACAATGGCATATCCTGAGCATGTTACATAAAGAGACCTTCAGACATATATCCTTTTAGTGCATTAGTGTCAATTTACTGACAATAAATAAAACAACATCGTCTTGTGAAAACGATGTTTGCATATCATTAGTAAAAATATATATAAATATTACAAATAACTTCACAATTCCTTACGTCTAAAACCTGTGCACTCTAATCCCAGTAATGAGAGTGTAAATGTTTTGGTATAACTTCATATTAATTTTGAAGGGAACATGACAATTTATTACCTTAAAAAATATCTTTGTAGTATTTGACTAATCAATAATTTAGGTCAACATACTCTCACAGTTATTATCCATTTATGCCATGTGATAGATTGTAAATGCCCCTGGACAAATTGATCAACCTTATTCCTACCAAACACACTTTACTGATGATGCCCAGTCAGGCTACATTATTAAGCCTGTTGTGAACTAATTACATCTAATCACCATTATAACATTGTCCTCCCCTCTTACCCTGCACACAGAACTATCATTCTGTCAGATCGGCTGTAGTTTGATTAGTATCAATGTATCCTTCTAACATACTCATAATCTCAAACCCCAGCCTTTTAGGCCACTCACAGATCAATTCTGATTGTAATAAATGAAGACTGTAAAGATAAAAAAAGTGACTGGAAAGTGAGAAGGTGAGGGGAGGAGTTTGCACTTGGGGATGGATTACTATCACTCTCAAAACAAGGAAATAATTGCTTCAGCAGACCCACAACGGCTGCCCTCATAATCTCATTAAAAAGTCTTGTACTAGATGCTTAAAGGCTAATAAAAGTCTTTAGTACAATTACGAGAATGTAAAATGTTATATGTGCAATCACACACATAAGTAGTCCCCTGTTTGTTGTAGTATAGGCCTTCTTGCTTTTTTTTTCTCCGCACAATAGGGCTATGCAGCAGAAAGAAAATCTGTTCATTCTCCTGAGCCTTGGCCATGGAAGTAATACCATCACAATTGTGCTACCAAACCCACAGGGTACAATGCAGTATCCTATCGAAGCACCCAATGAACACGCACTACACACAAAGATAATGGAGAAGTCCCTGGCCTTATTCCTTTACTGTTATCAGAGCATGGTGCACTTACAGAGATCTCTGTCTTCTTTTCTCTTTAGCTCCCACTTTCTGCTTTTTTTTCTGCCCTTTTTACCTCTGTCTGCTCCCCAAACACACACACACACATGTACGTTGATCCCACCCACAGTTTTTTCACTGTGTGGTCTGGTGTCTGCTATAAGGGGAAGGAATGGTTGTAAGATGTAGCCATCATAAACCACCTATCTGTGCTCATTTTCTTCCTGAGTCAAAAAATAAGCCCATGCCTCTTGTCTTAGAAGTCGTCACAGAGCATGCTTTAGAACTGTTCAGTCGCTATCAGTAACACAATTGAATGACGGCTGTAAAATAGAGATGCAATCAGTTCACAAGACATGCAATATTGGGTTCATAGAAACCAAGATTTAAAAAATTATTTTAGAAAAACTGAAATATCTGTTATATACAAGTCAAACTTGTATTTGAATAATCTGTAGGAAGTGTAGAATAATCAATTCCAGAAAAAGACAAATTCCTGTCTTGATCTTCTCTTGTTAAATTCAAGGGTGACCTTTTTTTTTCACAGATGGAGCAAAGTTTTCATAAAACCCAGACTGTGTTTTAAAGAATACATGTTTGGTGTAGAATAATCAGGTTCTGGTATAACTACTCCATTTTTTTAGACTTTAAACTAACCTAGAAGATTCCAGATTTCTATAAAAACTGTATCATAGCTGTTTTACAACAGGAGGATGCGCCAAATTATGTTAGCCATCTATAAGTCATCCAAGAATCCAGCAACTAATCTATAATTCCTTTCATCCATCAGAATAATATGAAAATTAAACTGACATTTATAGAAACCTTTTAATTGCCCTCATCTCATGAACAGCTTACGTTTTGACATATTTGCTTATTTTACACCATGATTGTTAGGCTGCTTTGCAGATAAAGTTGCTGCCTTATCTGACCACTCCATTAACAAAAAAAAAAAAGTCAGGGCATAGAGGGTTGGGTGGGACAGCTCAGCTGAAACGCTGCTGTCTGGCAGTGGAGATAAGACATGCTGTCCCACACCAAACCAAATCACCGCTTAACAGCAGTCACAGGCTTTGCTTGCAGCCACGATGAATAGGCTGCAACAAAGCCCGGGGGATAGCATTGTTTAACACCCTGTGGTCCTGGAGTACGGATCAATACATGATCAGACCTTGATTATATCCACACTTAATTAACCTCGGTATAGAGATAGACCAAGCCTGCCATCGGATGTAGAGCCAGAAAGATAAGCTTTTTAAAATGGTGCATAGTTTTTCTCAGATGTAGGGGATTCTAGCACCCTGGCAAACTGTGGCTATACAGTATAGCATATCCTTTTATGAACCTGGCATTCTCAATGGTTGATTTATTATTATTTTGAAAAAACAACAAAACATCTAATATTTGCTTAATAATTATTTTTGATAAGTTGCAACTGCACGGAAAACCTGCTGGATTGAGTTCAAGCTTTTAAAAACTGTACAGCTAACAAATTAGAACACCATATTTATTTATAAATCTACACGGACTGAGGATGAAAATATGAAGGAGAATGAATTTTTACTATAGCTCATTTTAACTATATATTTATATGTCCTCATTGTCCTTTCATCAGCTGTAGGCTAACATTTCTTCAAAGTGCCAATCTGCTTCTGACCTCTTCTCAGATGAGGTGATGCAGCAGGAAATGGAGAGGTGACATAACTAACACCCCATAACTGCAAATGGAGGTGATGGGAATGAACAAATCGTATGAATGTTCCATTCTATCCTCAATCAAGGATTATTCATCAGTTCATTTTAATGAAAATACCAAGAGGCACAGCTGTGTTGACTGCATAAACATTTGCCCCCAACAAAAGCACTATTTACCCATGCTGAATCATGCAAGCTATAATCTGTGTAGAAAACTATTCAGTAAACCATTTGCAATGCTCTGAGATGTGCGGAAAATGTGGGAGTTCTTTTATACTGCTGAATGAAAATTTTATGGTATTTAAAAGTAAGTAGAAGTTTCATACGTAAATCAAAATAATCTATGGGAACATACTGCATACGAAGAAAATGTGTTACTTTAGGAGCGTATGAAGGTTTACATTTAAATAAGAAATTCTTAAAGGAAATCGTTCCTTTTGATCAAATTCAGAGGGAAAACTAGAACATGCTTAAAACTTTATTTATGGTATATTAAATCCCTCTGAGACCAAACGGTTTAAGAAACAGTTTTATCACCTTTTAGAGTGTTTACATTAACACTGTTGAAATATAACACCATAAACAGTAGAAGTGGAAGATTAATCAAAATTACTTTTTACATCTGGCTTATAAGCCCATATTGTAAATTCAACCCTTTCATTTTCTTTCTTTTATAAAAGCTATTTTACTTATATGAGCAGTTCCTTGAGGTTCAGAGTAGGTTTGCTACACTGCTAATTTGTATCCTGATTTTACACATGGAAGTTAGTGGTTATGTTTACAAGGACATTATTATTCAGAATAGATGGGCAATTTGAATAAAAATGTTTAATATAACCACAACAGTCAGAATATTATGATTGGATTCAATTCAATTGGAATTAAATTGTATTCCAATCAAGAGGGTTGTTTTATGCCCCAAATTAATGCTTTATATGGATTACTTTTTTCTTTTTATGTTTTAGTTTCCTGTCAATTGAATAGATTTTATGAATGTAAACATATTGTTTCTTATTCCGGTTTGGGCCAGTTGCCTCCAAAGAAACATAAGATCATGACCCCTGATCAAAACCCTTTTAGAAAACTTTTTGTATATTCTAAAACAATTACAATAAATGATCAAAACAGATAAAAAAAAAAAAAAACATCCTCAATTTAAATAAAGAAAGACAATTTAAGGAATAAATGTCCTGTGGAAGACCGACACTACAAAGGGGCAAAATGTTGTTCATGTATAAAGTGATTACACTCATGAGTTTTTTTTTTTTTTTTAATCATGTTTCACTTCATCATATAAAAATAACACACTGTATGTTTGGTAATAATAAAGGCAAACAAAAGATTTCTATCTTAGATTCAGCTTAAGAAGCATAGGTTTCTTTCTCTAATATTTATAGCAACTTCCACGAGGCCCAAAAGGTCCAAACCCTTGATGGTTGTATATCTTTACTCTGTGATTCTTGAAGGGTGGTCAACTCTTGTCTTTAGTCTATGAACAATACATCCGAATGTTATTAATTTAGCCTATTTACCATGAAAATATAGCCTATTCGAAGACAGGAAAATTAAGGTTTAAAAAAGCACATTTTCATCAATACCAACGCCGACTCTAACACATAAAGACTTCAAATAAAAAACAATGTACTTTAAATTCCTAAAAACAACTCCACACTATTTAGATTGAAAAACGCAGTCTCTCTCTAATATGTTTGGGGTAACAGTTTTGACACCCTGATGGCCTTTTATGTTTAGCTCGTCTCTGGTAAATTTATTGGTATCAGATGGATGCATTGCATGATGATTGTGTTTTACACTTAAATGACTACTGTAGGATAGCTGTCTGTTTATTTTATTATTATTTTTTTTACAGCATTGGTAGTAAAAAGAAAATACAATAATGCTATTAGAGTAGACTAAAAAGGCATTAAACAGATTATTTTATTTTTTATGACGGGGGCCCAGGGCTATATGTTTCTTTTTAACAAAACAAACCTAGACATTGCTTAGGAACAGCTCTATCATTAGCTAATGAATGAAATTATTACCCTATGTTCTTGTGTGACCTTCTTGGAATGGGAAACTCATCTTTCGTAATCCTTGTTGAGAAAAAGTGCTCCACTAAATTTCACTCACAAGCTGTTGTGTTTCAGCCTGACACAATCAGCTGCAGCCAAACACGACGAGCTGCACACACAAGCTTTAAATCCTTTCTCTGTGTGGCTCATCCTCAGCAGTAATTCAAGCTGATGTGATTAAAAATGTCTTTTTATGCGCCGTCTTACCTCCAAGACCTTTCATCAGATCAAACGTGCATCTGTTACAAGGTTAGCCTTCCCTGTTCATTTCTTTGCCATCTTTTCCTCTCTGAGGCCATTCTCCACTGACTCATTGTTAGCTACAGGATCCTTTATCGGCCAGAACTGAATTAATATAGTTGATGGGACAAACATTGTCAATCTGCCAGAAGAATAGAGCTGACTGAATTCAATCTCAGCAGACAATACCAGGGGAAAAGCACTCAGAGACAGTGCCACTTTGCTGAACGTTTTCTGTTTTTGAGAGGTTATTGGCCTTGACAAAAGGGTGATGCAGAGTTTACCCTCATTAAAGCCAAAGTGTCCCTCCAATGTTGGAGTGCAGCTTTTCTGCAGATGGCCGTCTGCGATTCTGTCATTTATTTGGCTTATTTTCCAAGAAGATTTCTCTGACATAATTATTCCAATTAAACTCAAAACTTCACGAGTTGTTGCTTTTGTCAAAGCCGTTTTATTATAGGTTTAATTGTGTATGTACTTACATTGACATTGTCTTCTGACCACTTGTTTTGATCTGTTTTAGTTTAAATAAGGCAAACTGTTAAATATTTATTGTCAAATAGGCTTCTGTTAAATGGGGTGTACATTTGCTAAAGGTAAAGTTAACAATTCTATAATAGGTTTTCACAATAATAAAATTAAATGATTCTTTGGTGTAGTTGGTCAAAAAAGTTATTTTAAAAGAAATGGAGGGAATTTATAATTTTAAGGGAAGACTTTTGTAATGGATATGTCTAAATTTGTGATTTTGGTGGCTTTATAACATAGTGTTATCACTTAAAATGAAACAATTGATAGTTGATTTATTTTTGATAAACTAGCTCTAACTGGTTGGCTAAAATAAAATAAAAAGAGTGAAGTTTGTTTAATTAATGTCTCAGTAATTATTGTGTTTTAAATTCATAAATAGATATTAAATTAACTTTGTGCAGTCTTTAACTCCAGCTTTAACTATGAACATCTAACTTTTGACCTTACAGATTGTAACCAATGAAATGTCTCTTTAAACTTTAAAGGCAACATTGATAACGATCGCCTGGCGCTTGCTAGACAGCGAATCCCATACCGACTCGGTCGAGTAGTTGACGAATGGCTACTCGACAAAGGTAAAATCACTGATTAAAACTTGGAATAAAATAAACTGATCTTAATAAAGTTTTAGCATCATTTTGTAAACAATAAACCTAAAAAGTAAATGTTGAGTTAAAAGTAAAAATTTAAATGTTTTGAACAGTTAAATTTAGCTTTTCGTGTTTCTCACTTTTTATAATAATGTATTTATTTTATAATTTTCAGCTGTTTTAATAAGTGTTTCTTTACAGTTAAAGGGACTGTAAATATGAATATAAATCATTTATCTGAGCTTATAAAATGTCTATAAAGTACTGTAGTATCTTGTTTAAATATAACTGATTATTCTAAAAGTTGTTCTTTAGCCATCTATAGGTGTTTAAGTGTTTTTGAAACACTTACATGTATTATAATAGCTTACACAATGTTGCTTGATTTATCTTGATAAAATGATAGCAATGATAAATAGTTTGCAATATTAATTGGCATTAGAATTTTGAGTCCCTTTAACAGCTTTTGTAAATATGCATAGGGTGTTAGATAAAGACACTGTAATCTAATATAAACTTAGTGCATGCTGTGTTTTTACAGTTTAATAACTAATTCATATTGTCACCTAAAATATGCCCGTATTAGCCCTATCATTTGTATTGTTTTTTTGTTTGATTTTTGGTGTTTATTCCTCTCGTTTGTATTGCAAAGTTTATTTTGTATTTCAACTTTTTTGTGGTCTCGACAGCTGTTTTTTTTATTTACCCTTTGTTGCATTTGCTAAAAGGGTAAATAGTTAAGTTGTATTCCTCTTCTGGGTCTAAATGCATGGTGAGTCCTTTTCTTAGTGTCTGTCGTAGTTTAATTTCTGTATTTTTTTAGTTTTAAATGCTGGATTTTAAAAGAAAATGATCGGCTTAATAGAGGATTACATATTTGTAAAAAGTGCTATAATCTCAATATAAATAGTTGCTACTTATTTTCAAGTTTTTGCTTGTTATAATTATTTTTATGGAAATATATAATGGATATCTTAATTTAATTTCTTTAACAGAATCAGTAAATCTTTGACATTTAAATGATAATAATGATATTCATTATTATTATTTTTTATCATAAACATAGGTAGAATTTCCTTTTAGCAAAGCATTGTTTTTTGTTTTCTTTCCACACACTTTTACTTTATTTTCTCTCTTACGGTCATATCATTGTTTCAACTACAATAAATTACCAGGATTTGTCCAAGCACCTTGTAATTTATTGGTCTCATTAACCATTGGGCAAATATGTATTTCTGTCCGTTTCTTTTTTCCTGTTTTAGTGAAAGTTGTTGAGTCTAGAGTTCAGTGTTCCTGTATGTATGTAACATTATTTTTCCGCAGGGCGACAGCTTACAATCTTCAACAGCCAAACCACTATACAGATTGGGGGCTGGGAGCGAGATCGGAGAGGATCCTTTCAAGGCCAGCTCTCAGGACTCTACTACAATGGGTTAAAGGTGTTCAACATGGCCGCTGAAGGGGATCCTAATATAAAGATCAAGGGCAGCGTGCGGCTTGTTGGGGAGTCTCCATCCTCTATCACACCTCAGTCAAGCACCACAGCTAACCGTTCGGAGACATCTACGTCCATCATGGAAATCACTACTACCACTGCTTCTAGCAGGAAAGTTAAACTGACCACACCACGAGAGCCTCAGCAGGTAGGAATCATTTTCTTCACTTTTAAACATTTATATAACATAATATATATAATATAATATATAGATAATCAATAGATAGATAATCAATCTTTTGATTGATAGTCCTTAAAATAAATACATTAGTTTATTTGCAATTAATGTCCTCTTTTGAGAGGTTTTCCAAATTTTGTGAATTATTCCTCAAACAAGATCAACACCTACAGGCTGTCTTCTAAGCACTCATCTTAGTTGCTTTCAGATATGGATTCACCAATGTCAAAATTATCATAAAGGTTTTTATGTCAAATGTCAAAACGTAAAACTGAACAATGATGGCTTAAAGGTGAGTTGTATCCAAGTCTGAAGTTATCAGGATATCAAAGTGTGGTTTAAGCTGAGAAAAATATTTGTTACATCACATCCTTTAGCATAAAGCAGGTATAGATCATACATTATTAGTATGGTGATTAACTTTAATGAAATGCAAATAAACATAATGTACCAAGTAGCAATGAGAACTCAAAAATGCAGAATTTGTAGATCACCAGGAAGCCACCAGCAGCAAAATCAGTAACCTCTGAAGTAAGAAATATAGGTTACATGCTCCCTACAATTATCTATGGGCAAGGTAAAGCCACTAACCTTCTCAGAACCAGAGCCAGAGCAGGGATGCTAGACATCATCAAAGTAGCAGGCATGTGACACAGCACAGTGGGAATGGGAGACTGTGCATTTCAGTAACTACAAAGAGTTAAAAAAATAAATATATATATATATACAGTATAACTGTAAGAATCTTAAATTTCACTAAATAAATTAAATAGAATGAAGGACTTTAGTGTGTGTGTGTGCAGGTGTGTGTGTGTGTGTGCATGCAAATGAATAAAAGAGAAAAAAACGTATACAAATTTCTATAATAAATGTGTTCTTGACTTCTGAAAGAATCTTTTGAAATAGTGTACTCTTTTACACATATTTACATGAAACACTTGTTTTTTCATTGTAAATGTCAAAAGGCTGCCAAAACTTGAAAGGACTTACGTTTCAGCTTTAATACCCCTTTTTTGTATTCAAATAAATTCCAAGCTACTTGTTGCTGTAGTGCTCACTGTTTTGTTTTGTTTTTTTGCACCAATTCGCAACACATGTCATCTCAAGGCACTTTCCTATTTTAATCAGCAGTAGAAAAAATGCAGACCATAGCTGGCTATCCTAACTCTGTCTTGACAAATACCATCAAACAATTTTTTTAAGATAATACCAATGCAATACATTATCACGATTATAAATTATTACAAAATCAAATCGCTTTTTCCACGCACACCATGGTCCCTGGACCATTTCAGAAAATTGAGAGGCAGGTGGAATAACAGACAATGTACTATCATTATGTCCTAGTTCCTAGCTGTATGTTACTAAAGAACAAACTGAAGCTAGAGAGGAAAAAATAGATAGGATTAAAAAAAAAAAAAAAAAAAAACATCCTTATGTATGCCCTTCCCAGTATTGTTGGGAAAATTAATTATACCAAAATTGTAAACAATGTATTAACATCTTGCATTTAAGATAAAAAAAAAGTAATTGTATGTCAAAATGCTCTATACTACGACAGATTATTAGGGCCAGGCTAGAGATTTTTTTTTATTATGAGAGAAAAACTGTAATATTATGAGAAAGGAGTTGTAGAAAATAAAGTCGCAATGAGAATAGTCATAAAATTACAAGAATAAAGTCATAACAAAGTCATAACAAGAATGAAGTCATAAAATTATTTGAATAAATATGATATTTCATATGCTGATCAGACCTTGAAGCTTTCTTTCCTGAAACAGATTGTGGTATGATGACTTCATTCTTATTAGTTTTCAACTTTACTTTCATGATATCACAAATTTATTCTTGTACAGTCACGGCTTTATTATAGTAATATTACAACTTAATTCTAGAAAAAAAAAATGTATAGCCTAGCCCAAATATTCCATTATACTATACAGAACTCCTCAAGTGGAAAAAAATTTAGTTTCACCTGGTTTAATTTTCTAAAAAGCCTTTTTTAAAGAATCTTTGGCTATCCGATTATTAATCGAAAAAATAATCAGCAGTTTTTTTTTTTAAGTAGAGAACAAAAATTGTTCAGTTTGGTATAAAGACAACTTCTTGATTCACATATTTTATAAAACACATGAACTGACCGTTTGTTAGAGAAGTGGGCTTCACGCTGCCCTGCAAAGGCTTTAAACCTGTCTTTGAATGGAACCAAAGCCATTTTGAAGCACAAATCAAGGTGCTTATTTTGAGCCTGGATATTTAATATTCAATATTTATTTTTGATTATGTTTGTGGTGGAGAATACTGCTTCATAGTAGTAGGTTGAGCCAAACATACTCAAAATGTGCAGGGTCATCTTTGAGATTGCCATTTTACTTTTCTGTCACCAGTTCACCACAGTTCTTCTTGCAGTCCCGACTTTCTTTGACTCTTTCAAATCATCTTCTCCTTCTTTCCCATCGCCCGGCTTGGCACAGGTTTGCCTGCTGTGTCTAAAAATAGCTCGCAGTAGCAACCCCACAGTTCATTGGCTAATTTGTATCACATGTAGCCTGGTCCTGGACACTCTGGAGGGCTTTAATGTACAAACAGGAGAACCGGCGCAAGTGAAATTAAACACTGCCGTCGGACAACATGTGGTAATTTATAAATGTTTTAAATCAGGTTGGGTCCGGATTAGCCAGCAGGTGGGTCCGGACTGTGGTCCAATAATCCGTTACCTCTGGTTTAAAGGGTTTATTGAATGTCAACAATCTTTTATGGGATTTAAAGGACAGTTTTGATAAATTATGTTGGGTGAATGACTAGTTACTAATAAACTGCTTATAATATGATAAATTAAAAAAATTGAAGCAAGTAAAAATTGTCTCAGTTTGTGTGAGTAATCTACTACAAAATCTTATCAAAGGTGTTCAGAAAAGGTGTCGGTATTAAAGATTTGCTTCAAAAGTGGATACATGATAAATGAGGCATCAGAACTGTACTCATTGGGAGAAGTCAAGAATGTTGGGATGATTTAACACATTAAACTTGTCTGAGCTGCTGCAATAGGACATTATTGTTTCTATACACTGCACACAGTGTTTTATATATTTCAAAGGACTTTGCTATAACTGCAATATACAGTACTCCACTAGGACATTTAAATGATTCATCATGCAGATTTATGTGACAGTAAAATGTTGTCAAAAGCAGAAGTAGTCTGTTAGGCTTAGCTTGCTTGGTAGTTATGGTTAGTTAACTATGACTCAAAAACTATTCTTACTCTGTTTTAGGTACACCTCTTAACAAATCTTTAGGATATTAGATTTGATCCACCCCCAGATGCATGTAATGCAGATATCTAACCTCCAGGATTCAACCCCTATTAGAATCTATTTGACAAAATCTAAACATTAGCCACTCGATTAATGTTTAGATTTTGTCAAATAGATTCTAATAGGGGTCTTTTAAAGCTTCTGGATTTTGTTCCTCAATGCTGATTTCTTGTGGTTACTTGGCCGCTCTTGTGGTTTTCCAAGGCGTTTCCTGGTTGTTGTTTTTTTTTTCCTGAATTTGTGTTTCTGTTACCATCTGCATTAAATCTACAAGAACTAATCTCTGCATTTGGGTCCTTAACTAACTTCCACCAAACATGACATGATGAGAAGTCATTTATAACATTATAGCTTACAAAAAAGGCAAACAAACACACCAAAAAAATAGTATTCTAACTCCTGCCCACTTGCTTTACACATTATAAGTATTCTAGCTCAGTAGGATATTGATGTGATGCTGGATCTGCAGATTTAGGGTGTGTCCGCTTGCATTGCTTCAGCTATCTCTCCAAGGGTAAAGTTACTTTATAAAATGAGTTTAAAGGTTCTGGCTCCCCTCAGATGCCCTTCTTGAAAGTTCCCTAAATGCTTGTCTGAGCTCATATCAGTGAATCCTCTGGGCTTTGGATTATGGGTAATGTCATGTTCTAGTCTTGTACTGCCCCTGTGTGCCCAGTTATGCTATATTAGCAAGAAGATTATCACGTAAGAGCTGAGTGTTGTAATCAGCAGTTAAATTGACCGGAGCAAAAAAAAAATGTTTGTTTTATACTTAGAAGCTGACACTAAAGCAGTTGAAACAGTGAGTAACACAGACTTACTTTGATGGTCACTGTTATTCTAAGGCATCTTGAATTAGTTTCTCAGTTTGTTGTCTCTGCAGTTGCTTTTACTGCTGTGTCTGCTAAGTCATGAATATCAGGTATAGTATGTTTCTGCTGAACTGTCATGTCCTAACAGTTTATTTACATACTGCAGTGTTTAATAACAAGCAATTAAATCATTCTTATGCACATACTTACTGGCAATTAAACAGCGTCTGTGTACATATATTCACAAAGATATTCAATAAAATCCTCTCTCAGAGTGTGATATAAAACTTAGGTTGCATATTTTAAAAAACATAATTAAAGTTCACCAAAAGTGCATTACACAAAATGAACCAACCATGTGTTTTTCTGATTTTTGTTTGCTGTTTGTTTAGCTGAGTTTATTCTGTTGACCATTTAAATGAAGAACAAGAAATATAAGAAAGCAATGGTTGTAATATTTTACAACGATTGCTATTAAATAACAACAAAAAAGAAACCTACCTAATTCTCTACTTAAATGTTCCCAGAGTCACATTCTAAGATAAAAATAAAAAAAAAACATTTATCTCAATATATACAGGACACATCACTTTAAAAAGAGAGACCTATTATGAAGGCAATGCATAAAGTTTAAATATGAATTACATTTTTGGAACACTGACTATAAACTGAAATTTCAGCAGTACCTCATAGTGAGCATCCACATAATGACAGTGGGAAAAAAATCCTTTAACATAAAAAACTCCTTTAAAACAAGGGTAAATGTAGATGTTCATCTGCTATGACTGGTTGTAGGCTTAAGAATACAGAACATACCATAAATACATAAAGAGCACATGAAAAC